TTTTTGTTGTTGTTGTTGTTGAAACATTTCGTCCTTCCTAATAAAAGTTTCACTAAAATCTGCAGTAGCTGAATAGATTTTTTGCTAACTCACAGACAGAGCTCGCGTTACTGTGGTCAGTTAGCACTCAGAGTGTTTGTTGAGGATAACACTCAGCAACTACCGCTCCAAATTGTTGACTAGTATCTGTAAAGTTGACTAAGTTATAGCACCTTTGATCAGCTGTGGTGGCCATCTTGTTTTGGATTGACCTCACTGAGTAAATGGTTTTTCAAGGATGCTCTTAATATGTAACAGCTACTAAATCACAGCAGCTGGTAAACACTACTGTAAACCCTGTAGACCAGAGGTGTCAAACTCACTTACAAAATGGGGCCAAAATTAAAACCTTTTTCAAACTAAGGGCCAATTTCAGAATCTACATTAACTCAAATCAGATACCCAACATATTTTCTTAGTCACAGGTTCCTCAACAAGAGTTTATTGGTCTCATTTGATGTTCTCTGTTGTGCTTTTGACATCATAATCAAAGATTAATGAAAAAAAATAAAGAGATAGAAGTATTTTATGTTTCACGTATTGTCTTGAGGGCCAGATAAGATGTCAACGAGGGCCACATTTGGCCCCCGGGCCTTGAATTTGACACGCATGCTGTAGATTTTAACGAAGGGGGAAACATGCAAAGCCAAGTTATAATCCATGTAGTCATTTTTATGTTTGCTAGTGTTAATTAGTATGGTGGCCATCTTGAATTGGGTTGATTCCAAATTTCGATGTACCTCCAAGGATTAGGTTGTGAAAGTTTCATTCAAATCCTTCAGTTGTTGCAGAGATCATGACCTCTGTATCCCCTTGGATAATGAGCTTCTTGTGGACGTTGTTACGTTCTCTCATTGTTTCAGCTGGCATCTTCTTGTTGCCTGTCAACAGCCCCTTCAAGTCTGAGACCACACTCTGTATTGCAACATGTTAAAAATTGTCCAACCATTTACGAGATATATTTGTAAAAGTGAAACAAAATTGACTCCAAATAGCTTTTTTAAACAAACATGGTACACAGTCTGTTATCATCCATGTGTTGGAGACCAGTCTCAACTACTACCACAACAAATTATAAATCAAAAGATGTTAAACTGGCTGGATTATAGCCATTTATTCATGTTCAGTTGGATGTAACAGGCATTTTGAATCGGATTTATCTCAAAGTTAATCACTTGTAGATGTGCATTTAATGATTGTTTCTTTAAGTTTCATTAGAATCTGTTCAGAGGTTCATGAGATACTTTGCCAACAGAAACATCAGCGTTGTCTTCCCACTCCCACTCCTTCCCTCAGCCGGAGTGTCTCACTTTGACACCCTCTTTATAAAAATAAAGCATGCTCTCTGTCTGTGTGAGGGAATCTGCAGGACACCAGTGTGGAGATCACACACCCCCTCCCACGCAGCTCTGCATCCTCCGTCTGATAAAGACCTGACACCCACCCACTCACAATGTGACACAAAAACATGGCTGAGCATGTCAGAGCGTGACGTCACGCTTCTCCTCAAGCAACATGTTGTTTTAATTTGCAGGAAGTGAAGGCAGGCTGAAAATAGATGCTGTGATTGAGGGATTCTGGGTCCTGACTCTTGTTGGTGCTGATGTGGAGCCAAATCATGGAAGCATGGGCCACCATCCAAATTAAATAAACAGGATGAGTTCTGACTGAGCAACAAGACACGCTCACACACATAAACACAAACACATGTATATTTATAACAGAGCTGTAAACAGAGTAAAAATTACAGCAGCCTGTTGATTTGTCTGTTTTCTGTTCCAGACTGAAATCAGAACATGAAGTCATAAATCCTACAAAATAAACACTTTGACACTTTTACTGGACTATTTCTGGATATTGTTTCTTTTAGTAGTAATGCTCCCTGTTTTGAAGTTTTTGGTGTGTGTGTGTTTGCAATCCTACTTCTGCTTACTTTGTGCTAGTTTAGTCATATTAAAAGCTTCAGCTCATTCAGAAAAGTGTGCCATGACCATTTATTTGTTTTACTAACTTTTAAGCTTTGAAATCAGTTACCTATGACTTGGGTGTGCACCTGAAGGACAACTTCAGCTGGAGCAACAGCACAGCCTGATCAAGAAAGCTCATCAGAGACTCTACTTCCTCAGGCGGCTGAGACGAGCTGGTCTGGGAAGCTCAGTCTTCACCTCCTTCTACAGGTGTGCAGTGGAGAGCATCCTGTGCTCCAGCATCAACGTGTGGCATGGAGGCTGCACAGCTGCAGAAAGAAAAGCTGTGCAGAGAGTGGTGAAGGCTGCACAGAAGTCTGTTGGAGTCAGCCTCCCCACCACCACAGACAGTTACACCTCCAGATGCAGGAAGAGGGCCACCTGCATCATGAAGGACCCCACTCACCCAGCACATGCACTTTATGCCCTGCTCTCCTCAGGCAGAAGATTGCGGAGCATTAAGTGTAGAACCACTAGACTGAGGAACAGCTTCTACCCTTAGGTTGTTAGACTCATGAATATCTAACCAGAATTTTCACTGTGAAAAAAATCAATGTAATGCCACTTTACTTCCTTTGGCTCTCGCTCAAGACAGACGTTCTCCTCTCCCTCCCCCCTGTTTTCCCTTTGCCCCTGCTTTATTTCTCTGTGTGTCTCGGAGCTCCTGGTACACATCTCCCAAACAAAAAACACTATTATGGATCTGACGAGCTGGACTTTCAACAAAATCAACAAAATCTTTTCAACATAACGACAGAGTCCTGGAGAACCCTCTTGCCCGGCTGAGACTCACACTGCGGGGTACATAGATCAGCTGATGTGTCTTTCAGTTCTGTCTCAGGAGGACACTGGAAGCGTTTATATTTTGGGTTTATGATAGCAGGGGTTCTGCTATTTGGCATCAGAGGGGCTTTGTTTTATCAACTTGAAGAAGACATCGGCAGCAGTTTTGGCCATGGCAAAGATTCCGAGTCTGTGTTTGGTTCATGCTATGAGGACTCAAAATCAGCAGATTAATGAGTTAAACCGTAAGATGGAAACGATTTGTGAGAATCACAGGCCACCTGCGACTTCTAGGACTCGACAGCATGTGGGATCGACCTTGAGGAGGCTCATAACAGGATCAGTGGAATGGAATACCCATAAATCTGGACTTTTTGGACCGATGAAGTTCCAGCAGGACTCATGGCTCACAAGAAAAACAGTCTGCCTGTAGAAATTCAACAATCGTGGCTTATCTGAATCTGACTCCCCCGTTTGGCCTCGAATACAAGGCCGACTATCAAATTGGGACATGAGTAACTAGGGAAAAAGCTTTGTCTATCACAACATATCGTAGATCTTATTACTGGTTTTCTTTACAATTTATACTTTTATTGGACACAACTGGGACCCTGTGTACACAATCTTGTTCCACCACATGTACCACATATGATGTCAATGGCAATAAAGAAACTTTGACCTTGATATTAAACATTTTAGACTAATTTACTACCTTGTAATCACAATTTGTAAACCTAATTATTTTAGGATATAATATATCACTGCATTATAAGTATCTACAACTATAGATACTTACAATGCAGTGATAAAAGTACAGTGCTAAAGAAATAGGTTTACAAATGCATATTGTGCTTACAAGGTAGTAGTCTGAAATATTTAATATAACAACTCTAGGTGAAATATATAGGTGAACAGATTTGGCTTGCTATTTGGCAAGAAACTGGTCAGTTTCTCACCCTTAATTAATGCATAATAAGCAGTTCTTCATGGTTTATAAAGTGTTTATAGAGCAATTAATAACATATCTATAAACAATAAATCAATTAGCCATCTATAAGGGGAGCCTTATTGTAAAGTGGTACCCATAAGCTGCTGCTGTGACCTTGTCATTTTCTGCAAACGATCAATCAAGTAACCATCCATCCATCCATCATCCATCCATCCATCCATCCATCCACATTAGTGATGTGGTAGAGTCATCCCCTCTTTTTGAATTTACTATTATTTACTATTTAATTTGTGTGTTAATGACCTATATTGTTCAGTTGTAGGCTAATTTATGTTTTCTACAATTTGAATAAATCCCTGGACCTTTTTTTACCTTGCTGAATAACATCAAAATAAAAATAACATCTATTTAAAACTTTGACGCTCAAATGCGAAAAGGTTTCAGTAACAAATATTATTTATTGTTGATTTTATTTTTTTATTTTTTTTAGTATAAAAAAAACCAAAACAAAAATGGCAACACAAATCGCCGTTATTCTTGTTTGACGGTTTGCGTTCACAGAAAGTCTAGTGCAAGATCGTTGAACACGGAAGATCCATAGCATGCTGGGTAATGAAGTCCTACATCTCAGTTACTTACGTATAATTCATGTTCTAAAATAACTTAGACGTTTATCTTGTTAATATACATTAATATTACTGATGTTAGTGTAAATAAAGTCGACAATCAACTGTTTTTGGACAAACACATAATGCTGCTTGGTTTTGTAAATAACTGGAACTACGTCTCCCATAAAACCCGGGTGTACAGTGCCTGGTGCGGACGTGTTTGATGGTTTTTTTTAAATGGGGTTCCGAAGTCGATAAGGCTGACCGCTTAATCCTCTCGAAGATTAAAAATCTTCGTATATTTTATTTTGAGAACTTTATTTTCCAAGTTTACGCTGTCTCGTGTTTAAAATAAAACAACGTGAGTGAATGAACGCGTAAAAAGCACACCAAGTGTTGAGACGGGTGGTGTGTCCGACCGAAAAATGGAAGAAAATTGAGGTCTAGCGCTGCCTTTATCGGTGCCATCAAACTTCTTTGTTGTAAGTATGGCAAGAAATATCTTTGAATGTATGATATTTAAACTTTATTGTTACTTAAGATGTATTTCTGTTAAATCAGATTGTGAACACTTCGTCGTAAAGCTAGTTAAAGATTTCTCAAATCCGAAGCAGGTTGGTTGTGGAGTGCGTCATCTTGGCAATAAACGATCTTCGACGCCAGCTGAAGCCCGGACCAGAGAGTCCAGTGGACCCGGGCAGCTAGGCTCTGCTTCGTTATGATGCTTGCCGACAGCACCATGACTTCCATCGTTCAGAGAATAGCTCGACAGGCTCTGGTCACCTTCAGAAGCCCGCCGGGACCCGGTGAAGAAGCCGGCAAGTCTTTCCTGGAGAACCACAACAAGCTGAGGAGCCTGATGACGGAAGTGCGCGCGGCGGACCTCAAGCTGGTTCCGCGGAGAGCGGAAGACGGTTCGGCCCGCGCGCACCCGTACCTCCATGGGGTGCCCCCGGTCACCTACATGCACATCTGTGAAACGGACCAGTTCAGCATGGGTGTGTTTCTGCTGAAAAGTGGCGCCTCCATCCCGCTGCACGACCACCCGGGCATGCACGGCGTGCTCAAGGTTCTGTACGGGAAGGTCCGGATCAGCTGCTTCGACAGGCTGGAGCGGTCCTGCAGCAGCTCGCCCCCACTCCCCCCGGCCCAGGTGGGCTCCCTGCGGCGCTCCGTGCTCCGCTCCACGGCGGAGTACACGGAGGAGAGCGGCCCGTGCGTGCTGTCCCCGGACCGGGACAACCTGCACCAGATCGACGCGGTGGACGGACCCACGGCGTTCATGGATATCTTGGCCCCCCCGTACGACCCGGACGACGGCAGGGACTGCCACTATTACAAGGCTGTGACTGAGGCAGAGCTGAAAGCCCTGGAGCAGAAGGAGAAGGAGGTCTGGCTCATGGAGATCTCCCAGCCTCCGAACTTCTGGTGTGGAGGGGAGCCCTACCCAGGCCCGGAGGTCTCCCTCTGACTCACCTGACCCCTTTCAGCCTGGTCTAGTTTCTGAAGCAAGACCTGGCCTGTTGGACAACACAGACCCTCTGATTGCATTTATGAAGCAGCAGAAGCTACAAGTCAACGTCCAGAACTGTTTATGTCCGTTTCCACCACTCCGAATAAGATAGTTACACTGACCCCTGCAAATCTGAACGCCTTCAACCCAGTGCTTTAAAAGATGAAACACATGTGAGCCTCAAGCTTTACACTCTTAAGAAATAAAATGTTGTATTTTACTAAAAATGTCAGGTAAAATATAAATATTTGACGTGTGCAGTCCTGCATCAACGTAACTAAAGATCTGTGGTCTGAGATGTGTTGAGAAAAGCAATAAACATTAGTGCTCCCATTTTTATTATTATTATTATTATTATTTCATTGAAATCTTTGGCCGTCCACAACTGGTTGTGAGGATAAAGAGCACAAGTCGATGCTGAGATAATGTTCTGTGGTGTCACTCATGGAATCATAAAAACTCAACCTGAACCAGACAAATGATGGACATTTAACAGGCATCAAATCAAAACAGTAAAAAAAAAAGAGTGCACCATCATGGCTTAAAGCTGTAGCAATGTCTTAAAAAGTTACAAGTTTTAGTAAGAAATAAACAAACCTGGTTAAATATTATAAATATTTTAAATGCTGATTGTTTTATGGCTCTAAACTGGCTGTTTATCTTGAATGTGATGATAAATCAAGAAACATTTTTTGCTCTTTTCTTTATTCACAATGGTGGTAACTTTACTGCTAAATATGAGTTCAGTATCAGTAAAACTGACTGCCTTTTTTTTTGTAATTTACATGTGTTGACCCCAAGTGACCTTTGACCCCCCCCCCCCCCCAAGACCCTGACAATTTCCACTCTGATGCAGGATTTTTGCATAAATTCCTAGATTTGATGTTCAGCTCACCTCAACATGTGGCCTATAGGGACAAGTATGGAAAGTAACTTGGCTGCATTCAGTAAAAAATACTTTTAAGCAAAGTGGTTTAGTTGAATTAATTACCAGTGTCCAGATGCTTTAGTATTTTATACTACCATTTTAAACAAATTATTTTAACTGTAAAATTAGCTGAAAGCATTAAATTCAGTGTCAGAACAGTTGTGTGCCCCACATTTCATTTCTCAAGAGTGGACTGAGCACATCCAGTTAGTGTGTTCATATCAACACGTTTACTCGTTTACATGGTAAATGGACTGTACTTATATAGCACCTTTCTATCTTATTGAGACACTCAAAGCGCTTTACACTACAATCTGTGTCCTCATTTACCCATTCATACAGCACTCTACTAGATCTTTAAAAAGCTAATTGAACAAATTCTAAAGAGACTAATCAGAGCTGTAGATCACATTCATACACTGATGGGACACACATCAGAGGCTATGAGGGGTTCAATGTCTTGCCCAGGGACACTTCAGCATGTGACTGCTGGTGGATTCGAACCCCCAACTCTCGCATTGGAGGAAGACTGCTCTAACCTCTCAGCCACAGCCGTCCCACTTTCATTTGAATTCGTTCAACACTTAAATAAAATTGTGACGCGTCAAAAAGAGTGAACGCGTAATAAGAATTCACATTTCTTTAACAACCCCAGAGTTCAGTAAGCTGCTCTAAGACACCGTCTAAACCAGAGCTGTCCAACTGGCAGCATGCGGGTGACTTCAGTCCAGCCCACCAATTAGTTCTTTTTTTTTTTTGGTGGGGGGGGGGGGGTGTTGTTTGGGTTCTGTTTATTGCATTAATGATTCTATGCAATAAAGACAAATGTAAACAGGAACAGATGATTGGAAAACTTGATTTATTTACAGAATCATGACTTTAATATTGGACAGCACGGTGGCGCAACTGGTAGAGCTGCTGCCTCTCTGCGAGCAGGTCCCTGGTTCAAACCACCGTCCGGGGGGGCCTTCCTGGGTGGAGTTTGCATGTTCTCGTCTTACATGCGTGGGTTTTCTCCGGGTACCCCTGTTTCCTCCCACAGTCCAAAAACATGCATGTTAGACTGATTGGTAACTCTTAAATTGTCCCTAGGTGTGAGTGAGAGAGTGAATGGTTGTTTGTCTCGTTTGTCTCTATGTGGCCCTGTGATGGACTGGAGACCTGTCCACTGTGTACCCCACCCCTCGCACAGTGATTGCTGGACATGGGCACCGGCGACCCCCCGTGACCCAAAATGGAAGAAGCGGGTAAAAGAAAATGGATGGATGGACTTTAATTGCTGGATGTTCGGCCCCTGAGCTGCAGGCTTTCAGAACACGTCTTCCTTTCCAGGTCGCAGTGCCCATATCCAGCCATCACTGTGCAAGAGACAGGGGACACCCTGGATAGGTCTCCAGTCCATCACAGGGACACCTGGACAGGTCTCCAGTCCATCACAGGGACACCTGGACAGGTCTCCAGTCCACCACAGGGACACCTGGACAGGTCTCCAGTCCATCACAGGGACACCTGGACAGGTCTCCAGTCCATCACAGGGACACAGAGAGACAAATGAGACAAACAGCCATTCACTCTCTCACTCACCTAGTTAGAGTTACCAGTCAGCCCAACATGCATGTTTTTGGTCTGTGGGAGGAAACTCGAGTCCCTGGAGAAAACCCACACATGCACAGAGAGAACATGCAAACTCTACCCAGAAAGGCCCCCAGATCGGTATTTGAACCAGAAACCTTCTCATCTTGAAACAATTACAGCAAAAGTATGTTTTCATCAATCACTTAGAAATCAAAATGTTTTGAAAATCATCCAAAAAAAAAACAAACAACTCTGAACCCCAACTGTGGCAACCACTAGTCAACAATGCTGTACCCATTCTGTCATGTTCTAGAATTGTGCTGCTCAAGGTGGCTGCATGTTGGAGCAGCTCTGTTACTTTCATTCTGACATTTTGCTTTTGGAAACTTTAATTCCTGTTTTTTTGGATGTAAATCACATTTTTTGGATGATTGTTTCCTCTGGTATCAGATGCTGTGCAGCTGGAAGGATTTTTACTGAAACTTTTTTTTAGTTTTGGACATTTGTTATGAAGCGTAACCATGGTAACAAGGCAGTTTCTACAACCAGGAGCAGCTGATTAACATCTCAGAAGCTCAAATAATATCTCAGCTACAGCCCCAAATCTTAATGAGTTGAAAAGGATGTTCTGTGGACGCATTCTCATCTACCTGCCAGCTGTGCTCGAGTGCCTGACCACTGAGATCCTGGAACTAGCAGGAAACATGGGTCATGACGGCAGAAGGACAGGATCGTTCCTCGGCACCTAGTTGGCTGTCCGCAGCGACGGGGAGCTCGGCAGGCTGCTGGGAGAAGTGGCCATCGCTCTGGTAGGAGTTCTGCTCAGCATTCGGGCGGTCCTACAGCCCGAGGGGAACCGAGAGGCCAGCCGAGTCTGAGTGGATGGATCGGACGGCATCTGCAGCCACTTTCTTAGGATCCACTGTGGGATGGACCTTTACAAGAGTTCCTTCCTGTTTACAGCCATCAGCATCTATAACATCTCTTAATGAAATGAGGATAACGAGTTACAACAACAAATAATTTCCCTTTGGGATTAATAAAGTATTTTTGAATTGAATTTAAATCTTCTCTGTTTAATGTTCGTCCACATTGTTTTAACATTAAATGTCCAATAATCTTTAAAGGCCTGTTGCATGTCATGGAGTTTTATACTAAGAGCATCTTTAGTTTCTAATTATACGTTGAACACAGTGTCTTGTACAACCTGTTGGTGCTGGACGTGCGTGTTGGAGATGAGTTGCAGCTTCTGCCTCATCAAACCGTTGCTCAATGTCTTCAAAACTCGCTGTTATAACTTATTTGTGTTTGATGAAGTTGATTAGCAGCTGCAGCCATCTTGAATGGGGTTGACTGTGAACAACGCTTTGTGCAGCTTCACTAAAGTCCTTTTCTTTTTCATGAGATATTTTGCTAACACATACACACAGTGCTGTCTCAACAGTTAATGGAAGACATGCTGGGGAATGACTCTCCAGTCACACCAGAGTTCAGCTCAATATCTGTAAAATGAACTGTTTTTGTTGAATAAAGTTGATTATGGCAGCCATCTTGAATTAAGTTGACTCAAGAACTGGTTCAGTTGTTGATGAACATCCAGTGATAACTTTCTGAGAGGTTCAGTAAAATCTGTTCACAGAATCATGAAATATTTAGCTCGAGACAGGCAAACCAACACAGACAAGAACAGTACTGGCCGTTTTTAGTGACAGGTAATTATTTTATTTTTTTCATCAAAAAATACATTTGTATGTGGACCCAAGTTGCAAACTGCAGAAAATCTCAGTTTTAAAAGAATCATTGTGTGGCAGGGCTTAAATCTCACATACCGTATTTTCCAGCATATAGTCACAGGGGGGTTTTTTTTGCATAGATTTATCAGTCCTGCAACTTATATGCCGAAGCGACTAATATAATTTTTTTCCATATTCATAATGTAGTTTTTGACTGACAGTTTAAATTTCAAAGAACTGCAACAGCGAGTCCTTCCGTGCACACTCGCTTCATTCAGCTGGTGCAGGCGGTGGAAAGCTGAAGAGCTAGTGGCTTTGGCCAGGATGGATGGATGGATGGATGGATGGATGGATGGATGGATGGATGGA